CTGGGGGGATTTAAAAGACGGGGAGATGTGGTGCTGAGGGACATGGGTTAGTGGTGGGCTTGGCAGCGCTGGGTTAACAGTTGGACTTGATGGTCTTCAAGGTCTTTTCCAATGTAAACGATTCCATGATTCTATTTTATTGTAGGTTCATTGTGGCTTTAAAGAGCAGCTTTTACATAGAGCAAAGTGTAACAGTTTTGATAGAGGCAGCTTTTTAACAAGGAGAGGAACATTTGTAAGAGATAATCTGTCCTCACACCCAGTGTGATCCCAGTGGGATCCAATAGGAACTTCATCCTTTTAAAAATAATTTGAGAAACCTGCATCCTTTTGAAAGCCCCCATTCCACCCCTACCCTGTGGGGGACGTTGGGTTTGTTCATTTTTTGGAGGGGAGTTATGTTGGAGGAAGAATTTACTAACATCAAGGAATGACCGCCCTGAGAATCAAGGCACGGAGGAGCATGCAACTTTGCTCCCCAACCCCATCTTATTTCCTAGCTCTGCAGAAGATAAAGAAATCAAAGTACTGAAGAACAGCTGGGAAATATTTTAGTGGCAAAGCCTTCTTCCAAGAATGAGGAGAGATCACGTTATTGGTCCTTAACTCAATCTGAGATGCACGAATATCCTCCAGCAGTAAGCAGCTTCCCTCTCCCTACAGTTATCACCTAAGTCTAGACTCCAGCCTGACCTCCGCTTGTATTTCTGAGACAAGTCAACGAGAGAGCTGTTTGCCTTTTAAGTTCATCCTCTCTCCTCTTGCAAGAGAGTGACCAAGTATAGAGTTCTTCCCCACACAGGCAAGATCCTCGTTTCACAGCACACAAGCTACTGGAGCAGTAATACAAACGGACACGGCTCTGAACTACACAGAAGCTGAAAGCCCCGTGTTTGCTTTCCAGACGAGGGCAATCAGTATCACTGTAGCTCTCATCACTCAAGACGACAGACTGTTCGCATTACCAGACTCACAGAGGACAACCTAGCCACAGAAATACAGTAGGCTTCTGGTTTTCAGCTAGCAAATTGAGAAGAAATATAGGAAACCAGTTAAGAAACCTTATGGAAGCCTAAAGTTACAGTGCTGGCAGCTCATTTACACAGGCGTCAGACTGAGCAGCTCCAGCCCACTTCACATAACCATCTCCTTGTCTGGAAGCAAGTTCCCTCCTCAAGGATGGAGGGAATCTCCAAATTCCTTGCAAGATGGAAGACGGACCAACTTGCCAATGAGAAGCACAAATTAGCCACTGCCTGGAGGGCAGCTAAAACTTGAAACCAAACTGTTCATGACACACGTATCTCTAGTCCAAATATGACTATTGAAAAGGGGACTTTGGCTTCTGTACTCCCCCCCACCCCCAAAGTGGTTTAAGAGTTTGTTTTGGTTTATGTTAGAAATTCCATGAATACTTGAAATAATAGTAGCCAGAGCACCATGGCTGTTTTCATTTTCACTGAGATTGAGCTAGTGTTTAGATATATTTCCTTGCTTAATTAGTATTTGGGCAAAAAAGTCACTGTGTTTGGACAGAGGTTCACAAGCTAGTATTTTACACAGTGTTCCCTATAAAAATCCAAGAAAAATAAAACATTCATGGCTATTAAGAGAAAAGGCTATGAAAGATACCTTTCAAAGATGCTAACACTTCAGATACTCCTACACTGATTTTAACACACCCAAGATTAATGAAATCCAATGACAAGCTCACAATTTTGACTGAAAAAGCTACTTATCAAACAAATGTGATTGTGGCTAACCCTTGGTGCCCATCTATCCCATCCACTCAAGTTTAGGGAACTTTCACAGCTGGCGTTGCTTGGGTTAACACCGTTATCCCATGCACCTTCAAAGCCTCATTTGAAAGGATAAGTGTCACAACATGCTCAGCCTTCCCCAAGCTGCACTGCCATCAGAGACAGGGCAACACAGGGCGCTGGACAAATCTTAGAGCCAGATATGGTCATGCTGCCAATTCGCCGAGTGCTTATCCACACGTGTTTTACTTTTGCAGTTTGCAAGCAGTTGACTTGTAGGTAGGAGGGGATCTCACAGGACTAGGGCAGCCTGTCAAAACAGGCAAATCGAGAAAATTAGGATGACCGATCACTTGAAAAGTATAGTTCTGGCTTGAGGATGCCTTAGGTCTCCAAAACTGACACCTCAGAGTCAGGTCCTGGGTTGACCTTTAAAAATATTGTTATTAAAATTGCTTATTTGAGTACTAGGATAAAATTGTAAATGCAGATAAGATAATCAGCCAATATCATCCAAGGTTTCTGTACTGCTACAAAAAAAAAAAAGCTCATCTTACGAGAGCCCTAGCCTTGTCCAAAAAATAGCCAGCTTGTCCTGCACGTAGCAGAAATCACTGCTCCCATTTCTTCCACACTCATTTCAACCGCCACCCTTCTTTCCTGCAATTCCAAATCCTCTACACCACCACCAGCGCTTCCAGTCCTCTGAGCTCTTTGACGATGCCCCCGCGCTGCCTCCCAAGCAGCTGGCCAAGCGGCAGCAGATGCCAGGAATCACTGGAGCCAAGGGGGGGGACTGGCTGGGCAGCCAAACAGAACGACTGCTGGGCACTAGCTGGGCTCCCCACCCTCTCTGCCTCATTTCAGCGCATCTGTGGGAAAGGCATTTGTCACTCCTAAAACTATTTTCTTTCTGGAAATGAGAGATTTTCAAATGTTAGATATATCTAAGGATTTCAGGCAACAGGTGCCGAATTAAAAGAAAAACAACCACCAACCAACACCGCAGTCAAAACTGAGAGTTTAAAGATTACGTGGTTTGTGGAAATAATTTACTACCAAAGAAATTTGCAATTTTGTTTTTTAAAATCAAATTGCATTGAGAAACAACCCAAAGAACTCAAACGCCTTGACGCACACGCTAAGAGGAGAGCCCGCGTCCCGCCTGCACGCTTACAGGCCATTTTGCCAACGAGAGCCTTGCGGCTGCCTGCTGCCCCAAGGCAACCAGGCACAGGGAAGCGCTGGGATCTGCTGTCAAAGGCGCTGCCATGTATTTCTGCCAAAACCTCCCCATAAGAGGACTCAAAATGTGGTGAGCTCAACATGCTCATCCGACAGCTTTTATACCTTCTCTAACATGATTTTTCCTCTAATAAATGCTGATTTCTGTAAGCCCGCCTTGTCACAGGCTGACTTAGCAGAAGCCCAGTGCAGCCACAAACACATTACTGGCACTAACTGGAATTGAATTGCTTAAGCACCAACAACCTTTCAGGTCTTAACCCAAATAAAGCTTTATTACATGAATCTAACATTTAAGGGGGAGGACCACTACACAGCATCCAAGTCCGGCTAAGTCAGTAAGGTGGAGAGCTGAACTGGAGAAATTGAGTTTCACATCTGGCTGCTCCCACAAACACCTTTTGGGATTTAAGATACTGAGGGGTTTGTGCTGTCCTGATGCTCAGCAGCAGCTCTTTTAGAAAACAACTTGCTGTCAGCTCAGGCTAAATCCCCAAATCAACTCTAAAAGAAGGACTTGAGGTTTAGAAGGACTATATGGCACCACAGCATTTCTGTTCTGGTTTGGGTTTTTTTTATTTCTTTCTTTTTTTCCTGACTGTTCAGTCCAAGATCTGGTGTGGCCAGCCAGAGACTGGATCTTTCACGCCACATCTGAGCTCCTGCCTAAGGCTCTGCCCCAAAAAGAGCACTCGGAACTGCTGAAAAGCTTCACCACGTCTAGATGCCTGGATGTTTGCTGGACTTGTGCTTTGCCATCAGCGAGACCACCAGTACAGACCACCAGCATTTCTGCCCTAGCAGCGCAGAAGGGGCTGACAAGCGCTGCTGCTGTTGGCAGACATGCCTTTGATGGATTAACAGTATTTAACACAACCCTGAAGCTGCCCTAAGGCTGGTAAACCCTTGATCTGACCGAATGTAGCACTGCCCAAAGTGAAGTGAATCGTCAGGGCAGGAACTAAGCCCCTTTTGTCACCTCCCTAAGAGCTACATCAGTGTATTTGGTTTCCTTACTTTTAGATCAACTGACTTTTCCAAAAAGCAAACCACCTTTGTGTTGTCCACAACTTGAGTGGAAGATCTTGTTTATCAATAGCAGAATTTCTACACTTGGGCCCTTCACCCAATACAGCAGACGGATTGCTGTATTAAACTGGCAAAGCGGAGTGGAACACAATAATTAAGTCAAATTCAGGATGGCTATTCCATTCCATTCCATTCCAAAATGGATGAACTGGCACATCCAATCCTCTCTTCCCCTCCCTTTTTCTTTGCTCTTCGAAAACAGAAGTATAAACACTTTGTGCTTCATACGGACAATTACTCCTTATCTCAGCAAATAAACCTCTCCATCTCCGGGAAATGACTCGAGGATCACGCTATGGTAACAGCGGCTCCAGAGTTGTCATCCGAGTTGCTCTGTTTTTCTAAAGCAGATCCGTGTCACCCAAGTGGGTGCCCTGCTTTGCCCAGCACACCAAACACTCGGTCTGCTCCTCAGGGGGAGCGGGAAGATCTCTAAAGCAGAACCACACGCCACTCCCCATAATACTAAAGAAAATAGAATGAGGCATGAAGTTTTCTAAACACGGATTTGTAAGTGAGGCTGCTTTTTTACTTCCTGGCTATCTAAGTTTTGTTTTAGGTCATTTCAATTAAACTGACCATTCACTTTATTTTTAAAGATGAAATAAAAGAAATAGTGAACTTTATTTCAGTACCTGGAGTCTGAACTACTTGATCAGGTCTAGTTTATCTTATAGAAGAGCTGCAGACCGGAGTCATGCATACCTGGAAATTAAGTATGACCCTTATCTAGGTTCCTTGGCGACAAATACCAGTGACTTGAGAGCTCCTTTGCAAGTGGGACCTAGACTCCAATTCTGCAGGTATTTAACACTTCAGTCCCAAAGATACTTACGAGATGGGGGTTAACAGTAAACTAAGTGAAGTTGGAACCAGCCTACGAATGTGTTTTACTGGTATGGGTACGTAACTTACCTGATTTCTTTAAGTCCTTCTTTCTGGATAACTTGAAGGATCTCTTTATGGCTCATAGGTGTGTTCGGATACTTCTCCAGGACCTGGCAAGCAAAAGGAGATTGAGAGGAAGTTACTCCTTTGCATTTTCACTTTTATGCTCGACTGCACAGCAAATGACATTTAATGGTTTGGACATCTCCAAGGATACAACCGAGGAAGAACTGCTGGCCTTCTCACATCTCATTACCACCCCCTCCACCTGAAGAACATAAGGAGCAAAGAGACTCCAGAAGACTGATTTTAGTGCAATTCCCAAATTTTATTTCAAATGCACTGCCCATCGGTAATACTTCTTGGAGACTGAAATGCTCCACAGTAACAAGGTGGCTTCACAACCATCAGCTTCGCTTGGGAATACTTCAGGAACTGTTGAGGTCCCTCAGATATAAAGCTTACAAAAACCAAATCCTTAACTTTGCAAAGCTGAGACAACTACTGATCGGTTTGGCAAGTATTAAAGAAGTTTAAGGAAATTTGAGGTTTAACACTGTTAGGGTTTTTTTTGAAGCTCTCTGCACACAGTTCAGGCTTAAAGTTCGTAAATATGGCCTACAAAAACCAAGTTGTCAAACACGCTCCCAAATACGCTGTGCAGCCCCCCGTGCAAGAGGACTAAGGTGCAGAAGTACAATTCCCAGGAGCCCCCGAGATGCTGGAGGCTTCTGAAGGAAGATGCCAGTTGCTGCTCATCAGTTGAGTATCTTGGATGTCAGTTGGGTATTTTAAGCAATATTTGTGCTGGGGGATGGGCAGGAAATGCCTCGTTTCCTTCTTAATCATCCGCTCTTACCCGTGCCCAGCACATCAGCCCTCCGCTTTGACTTCTGTCGTTAGCCAGAAAACAAACCATCAGTCTGTGAAGTATAAAAACCTACAAGTGACTTCGCAGAAGGAAATTACCAGTTTTAATTTCTCTGTTCAACAGCTGTGCAGAATACCTGGCCTCTCCTAAAGCCCCGCACCTCATTCCCTCCGGGAACACTTAAGTTCTCCTGATGGCTGCAGACTTCCCTCTCTTTGGGAAGGACTTTGAAAAGACCTTGCTGAGCTGCAGCATCTCCCTGCTTAGAGAAACAAAGACCTACATTAGCACCATCTTTAGCTTTGCAAGCCCTAGCTGATGTCCCCATCATGTTCCAGTCTCCTCTTAAGTCACGTTAAGTTATGTTAAAGCCTGACTTTCACAGCCACTGAAGCTATTTGCAGCCCTGGTACCTGAGTTTTGCCAAGGCTGGCTGGCTGCAGGGAGCACAGCACAGCATTGCAGCCTTACTGACTTCTTGATTAGCAGAGTAGCACGTGTATTAAAAATAAGTGCGTTTAAAACACATTTAAGTGCGATTTGTTTACACTCTCTGGTATCAGCCTCAGTGACTCACTCCATTTCTAGCTGTGTTCATAGAATCATGGAATCGTTTAGGTTGGAAAAGACCCTTAAGATCATCGAGTCCAACCGTTAACCCAGCGCTGCCAAGGCCACCACTACACCATGTCCTCATGTATTGTACCTGAGGCTGCCCACAGGAGAAGGGTACAAAATTCAGGTGGCTGAAGAGCGATTTAAGTCAGAGCGCTGCCGTTCTCAGATTTCTATCAGCTCCTAATTCACGTTCGCTCAGCATTGCCAAAGTCTATACATACTTTTATACCATTAACTTGGAAAACAATCTGAAAGCTTGTTCTGCAGTGCACTGAAAGCCCACGGAGGGCAAGAAGAGTTAAGACCATCCCAATTTCCACCTGTGGTGTCAACTTTTTCACTGCAGCTAGCAAAACAAATTAGGAGAAAAATAAAGTAGTGCTATGATTCCGTTAACAGGGAACTTTAGGGCATTTGCTATTTCTCACACACAAAAATATAAGCGTGCATTTTTCTTCTTGGGCACTGTGTTTTCCTCTTGACTTTCACTACATGGACGAGCTCTGGACAAGTCCCATCTCGCTCACACCTAGAGCGGCAACAACACATTTCATTAATTTTCCGCTAGGCACAACCGCAATGCAAGCTAATACCGTGTTCAACCAGAGAATCTCATCGTTAAGAGCAGAAAGGAAGAAAAGCTTTTCTAATTACATCCTTGCGTGCCCACAGGATGCTTCTGTGCGTTTCTCCCAGGTAACCTGTCCCCACGTCTTCCTTTTATAGGACACTTTCCTGTAGTTGAGCTCAGCAAGATGATCCGTCTGGCCTCCCGCCACACCTGCCTGGCTTCCTGCAAATCGTGATGGACCACTCCTCTGCTCTGACAAGGTTGCTCCTGAAGATCAACCAGCTCTCCTGAGTTTCTCTGCTCTACAGGACAGATTCCTGTAGGATCCTGTGTATCTAGTATCCTGCTAGTTCTCTGAACTAGCCAAAGCCAGGCATTTTTACCCTTCTACTCATTTTCTTCATTCCCCATAGGATCTTAAACTCTCGTTTCACTGTCACTGAAACCAAAGGTGCCGCTGCGTACCACTCCATACTCCCAATCAGCTCTCTTCACTCTGCCAGATCTCCTGTAGCCAGTTCGTCCAGCACCTGCCTCAAGAAGTTGTCCTCAAGCAATTCCAGAAACGTCCTAGATTGGTTGTGCCCTGTATCACCTTGTGCTTCCAGCAGAAACCAGGGCAGAGTCAGAACCAACTCTCCATTCACAAGGCTTTTTCCAGTTGTCTAAAGAGGGTTCGCCCCCTTCCTCCTCTTGATCAGCTGGTCTGCAGCAAACACCCACCACAGTGTCCCCTTGGTCACCCTCCCCTCTGAACTTAACTGATAAGCTCCCAACTGAGTCATCACCAGTTATAAAGCACAGCACATTCCTAAAACTGTTCTTTAGCACAGAAGGCAAACCTGTCTTCGTTTTCCATGTCTCTCCTTCCACCTTCTATAGGTTGGACTCGATCTCAGAAGTCCTTTCCAACCTTAACAATTCTATGATTCTAAAGCACTCCAGTCACCCATCCCTCCATGAGCTTAATCTCACCAACATCAAAGCTCTGCACATAAGAGCTGATCAAGAGGGAACTAAGCTATTAGTATCAAAACTGCACACAGACCTCCAATTCCTCGTGTCCGACGCTGAACGCATTTACATACGAGCCCAGGGGTGCGCTGGGGAGGTGCAAGAGTTTCTCTGGAGAAGTGGAAGGGGCTCCCTTGTCACAGACACCCAAGTGCCTCTCTTCATCCCATACTTCTCCTCTGGTTTTCAGTCTCCATCCCACAACAAACCTAGTTTAAAGCCCTCCACACTGTTAGCAACCATGCCGGCAAAGATGCTTTTGCCCATCTTTATCAGATAGATCCCATCTCTTGCCGTTGGCCCTCATTCCTTAACAAGTCCCATGGTCATAAAAAACCCACCCTGTCTATAAACACTAACTGTGCAGAGCGAAGCTGACACTCGGGCAACATCTGCCTCCTGCCTAAGCCTTCCCCATTCACCAGCAGGATCTAAGAGACCACCTGAACCCCTAAGGCCTCTGAAACTTGCTCCCAAGGCCTGGCATTGACCTTTTATCTGCTCAAGGTCTCCTTTGGGAGATCTTATTCTGTTTCCAATAGAGGGACGATGCTGATGAATGGGGGGTGGGGGTGTATCTGAACTTCCCCTGATGCAGCTTCATTCCATTTCCTCGTGTCCTATCACTGGTCACCAGAGAGAGGAGATCAGCACCTGCCCCTCCGCTGCCCACCTTGAGGAAGGTGTAGACTGCGACGAGGTCACGCCTCAACACTGAGGTCGCCCCCCAGCCTGCTCTTCTCCAAGCTGAACAAGCCAAGTGACCTCAGCCGCTCCTCATAAATCTCACCCTTGAGGCCTTTCACCATCTTGGTCACCCTCCTCTGGACACACTCTCATAGTGTGATGTCCTTCGTGTATCGAGGCACCCAAAACCGCACACAGTGCTTGAGGTGGGGCTGCAGCAGTGCGGCGTAGAGCGGGACAGTCACCTCCCTCAACCAGCTAACGATGCTGTGCTTGATGCACCCCAGGGCACGGCTGGCCCTTTTGGCTGCCAGGGCACACTGTTGACTTGTATTCAACTTGCCATCAACCCAAACCCCCAGATCTCTTTCTGTGGGACTGCTCTCCAGCCTCTCATCCCCCAATACGTACGTATAACCAGGACTACCCCATCCCAGGTGCAGAATCCTGAAGCCACCATCACCTTCAATCCTGGCCTCCAAGAGAAGCACCAGGCATTCCCTGCAGTCTTGCCTGGGACAAGGCCTCTCAAACTGGCGGCGGGGTGCTCAGCCACTGCAGAGACTGCCATCCTACCATGGTGTCACCACCATTGGTGTGCCAACTGGAGCACTGAAGTAGTCTGCTATGTGAGTAAGTAGACACTTTTGCTAGCTCAGTTTGATACTGTTAAAGGTCCTGGTGTCAAGGTGAACTTTCTTTCATAAGATTACACCAAAGAACACAAGATAGATCAGGAAGAAGACAGATTAGAAATAAAACTTTGATTAGAGGAGCCTGAGTAGTAAGGAGAGCCACGTTTTTTTCTTCTTCTTGCCTACAGTTATCCATCTTCAAGAATATCCATGAGTAACACTAGGCTATAGCAAATGGCATCCTGCCCTGTATCAGGAACAGTGTGGCCAGCAGGACCAGGGAGGTGATAGTGACCCTGTACTCCACACTGGTGAGGCCGCACCTCGAGTACTGTGTTCAGTGTTGGGCCTCTCACTACAAGAAGGACATCAAGGTGCTGGAGCATGGCCAGAGGAGGGCAACGAAGTTGGTGAAGGGTCTAGAGCACAAGTCTTATGAGGAGCAGCTGAGGGAGCTGGGGTTGTTTAGTCTGGAGAAGAGAAGGCTGAGGGGAGACCTTACTGCTCTCTGCAACTACCTGAAAGGAGGTTGCAGTGAGGTGGGGGTCGGTCTCTTCTCCCAAGTAACAAGCGATAGGACAAGAGGAAATGGCCTCAAGCTGCACCAGGGCAGGGTTAGCTTAGATATTAGAAGAACTTCTTCACCGAAAGGGTGGTCAAGCATTGGAACAGGCTGCCCAGGGAAGGGGTTGAGTCTCCATCCCTGGAGGTATT